CATAGTTATATCGCAATTCTTTGACTCTTTCTGAATTGCATTCAAATGGCACCCTGTAGACCTGCTTCATCCTGAGATGATTTCTGCACAAGACAAGGTCCAGTGTTGATAAGCTTACCCTATAAATTTTTGAAATATGTCATTGTTTTCTATTATTTTTCTTTGTATTTGCTGTAATGTTATGGCGTTGTTTTCTAGGACCATGTTTATGATTTCTGTTTCCTGTTCAGGAGAGAAGACGTTCCCTTTTGTTGGTAATCTTTCAGTTCTGCCAAACAAATAGTAAAATAATAATATAATAGCCACTTTGCCACTTTGGTTGATGTGGTCAACCATGGTCTAACAATGAGGGAGGCTGGGCAAAGAGTACAGCCAAATCTGAGTAGGTACACTGTAGCATCCATCATCCGGACTTTCCGAAATGAGAATAGGTAAGAAATCTACTCTCACTAGCAAATTGCAGTACTGCATATCAATACAGTACTCAATGAGTACAGTAGTACAGTATTGCCTGTGGACTGTTCTGTAGGAATGTAAAAATACTGTAAGTATGTTTCAAGTATTTAGGAAATGTATACCTACTTTGTATTTACAGTATAATGACTATAGCCAGCTAGCTGAACTGTGTCCGCCTCAATATGATTGTTTTAGTCAACCGAGGGTCAGTGGTCGTGGTGGTGCGCTAGTGAGCGTGTATAGGAAAAATTAAATGTCATCAAGTACGCTGTGATAATTTAACTTCTTTGAAGTTCTCACTCTTAAAGTTGCAGGGCTACAACCTATCATATTTATTATAATTTATCGCTCCCCAAAACCACCTGGAGGATTTTTATCAGAATTTCCTGAATTTTTATCTACTCTGGTTTTAAATTATGATAGAATTGTTCTTTGTGGCAATTTTAATATTCATGTTGATGACCCCACCAATGTTAATGCAACTGACTTTTTAAATATGGCCACTTTTTTTAACTTCAAACAACATGTCAAATGGCAAACACATAACCGTGGTCATACACTGGACTTGGTTTTTACCCTGGGTGTCAGCATTTCCTCTGTTGAATTAGTGGACATGACCATATCTGACCACAGATGTATTGTTTTTAGCTGCGATTCCCCTGTTACTCATGCCGCCTCACCAAGCTCCAACCAAGTGTTTCAAAGTTTTGCACATTCTTTCAGAGCCAAAGCCAGCACCTGTCTGATTCCAACACCAACAATCTGGTCGATCACTTCAATCATATCTGCTTGTTGTCACTAAATATTACTGCTCCTCTAAAGGTTAGGCCTACGTCTAAAGCTAGTAAGCAACCCTGGATAAATGACAGCATTCGGAGCCTAAAAAGGGAATGCAGGAAAGCAGAGCGCAGATGGAAAAAATCCAGTCTCCAAGTCCATTACCTCAGTCTGAAGGATTTATTAATTAACTACAATAACATGGTTAAGGATGCGAGAACACACTATTTTCTGAACTCATTATTACACATAAACACAATCCCAGGTTTCTGTTTAAGACTGTGGATCAGCTGGTAAACCCAACCCTTCCTTGTGCCTCAGCTGGAAGTAATGATGACTGTGAATTGTTTTATCTTATTTTACCAATAAGGTGGTGTCAATCAGAGCCTCTATTACCCCGTGGCCTCTTACTCAGAGGTCCTCACCAGCAACAAGAGAGTTTTAACCAGTTTTATCCCATCGACTTGTCTGAGCTTTAAAAAACAGTATCACAAATGAGAGTGTCCTCCAGCCCACTTGATAATACCTACAATTTTTACTGAAAGTAATGGATTCTGTTGGGCCCCATTTGATCTCTGTTTCCAACAGCTGCCTATCTACTGTTGGTCCCTGATTATTTTTTAACGGCTTGCGTGAACCCACTTTTAAAGAAACCTGGTTTAGATCCCTCCCTCCCACATAATTTTAGACCAATTTCAAAACTGCCTTTTATTGCAAATATTCTAGAAAGAATTGTGTCCAAACAGCTGCTCACTGTACTGGAAAATAACAAATTATTTGAAAAGTTTCAATCTGGTTTCAGGAAGTACCACAGCACTGAGACTGCCCTGCTTAAAGTAACCATGACCTTTTAATGTCTGCTGATGAAGGCATGTGCTCAGTCCTGGTACTCCTGGACCTTAGCGCTGCTTTTGACACCATTGATCACAACATCATGTTAGACAGACTGAGGCACTGGGTGGGGATCTCTGGTACTGCCCAAGAATGGTTTTCATCCTACCTGTCAAATAGGAAGTTTTGCGTGTCTGTGAACAACTATGTCTCTTCGTTCTGTCCAGTTAAATATGGTGTGCCTGAGGGGTCGGTCTTAGGACCCATTTTGTTTTCCTTGTATCTGCTTCCCCTTGGACATATTATCCATAAACATGACATTTCTTTTCATATTTATGCTGATGACACACAAATGTACTTGCCCATCAGATCCACAGACCCTGGAATGCTGAGTTCACTTAACAACTACCTTTGTGAAGTAAAAAAATGGATGTCAAATAATTTCCTCCAACTGAACTCAGACAAAACAGAAATCCTGGTCATCGGGTCCCAGCAGATGGTAAAACAAATACTGCCATCTGCTGGTTCCCTAGTAAATCACACATTAAGCCTATCAACCTTGGTGTTTGGTTTGATAGTAATTTAAATTTCGAGCAGCACACCACAAAGCTTGTTCAATCATGTTTTTATCAACTTAGAAATATAGCAAAAATTCAATCTATGTTAACTTTTAAAGGACACACAGACCATTTTACACGACTTCATCTCATCACGCCTGGATTATTGCAACAGCCTTTTCACCTGTTTAACCCAAAAATCTATTGATCGAATCCAGACTGTCCAGAACTCAGCTGCCAGGCTTTTAACCAGAACAAAGAAATATGACCACATTACTCCTATTTTAGCTTCATTACACTGGCTCCCAGTAGGTTTTAGAATTGACTTTAAAATTCTATTGATTACTTTTAAAGCTCTTCATGGCCTCTCACCTTGTTATATTTCTGACCTTTTAGTCCCATACACACCAGCATGTACCTTAAGATCCTCGGGCAGAGGTCTGTTGTCTGTTCCAGAGTCTCGACTGAAAACTAAAGGGGACAGAGCGTTTGCTGTCAGGGCCCCGAGGCTCTGGAACAGCCTGCCTGAGGAAATCAGGTCAGCTAAGTCAGTGAACTCTTTTAAGTCCCTTCTTAAAACACACTTTTATAGGTGAGCCTTTCCCGATCTTATTTGACATTATTTTATCCCTTTTATTTTATTGTATTTTACTAATTTTATATTTTAAACGTGTATTTTAGTCTTTTCAATGTTTTCATGCTTTTATCTTGTATTGTTTTTGTATTATTGTCTCTTGGGTATTATTGTCTTTACACTTGTTAAAGCACTTTGTAACTAGTGTTGACAAAAGTGCTCTACAAATAAAGATCATTATTATTATTATTTTACTATTTTTTTGGCAGGACTGAAAGATTACCAACACAAGGTGGTCGGGAACATCTTCTGTCTCCTGATCAGGAAACAGAAATCATAAACATGGTCCTAGATAACAACGCCATAACATTACAGCAAATACAAAGCTTGCTTTTTGAAAAATGGAGTTATGGTTTGTAAATTTTAGTTCAAAAGCCTGGTTATAGTGTTTAAACAATGGAGAAAAAACTAATTAAATGCCGTTCTTGAACCATTTGGAGTAAATGCATGGTTTTGGGGCTTCTCTGAAAGATTCTCTGAAAGTTAGACACTCTGAAGTGTCTAACCCAAAAGTCAGAATCACTATAAATGCTACTGGATTTGATTCATATAAGTTTAAACACACTAAATAATATTTTTTTTATTTCCATGCAGACAACCACAGCATAAAGCCTTACCTAGTCCAATTTTAAACTTTACACCAATACCATGAATAATGAATATTTTACACAGGTTTTTCTAAGGATTTGTCTTAGCAAATTTTTTCAAAAGCAATACTGCCCCTCTGCGGCAAGGTGCTGCTGCTGCATCACGCCGTAGATTGACGCTGATGTGTTTTTTTGCTGGGAGATCATGAACTTGCTACTTAAAGCTGGATGTTGTTATTTTCAGAATTTTATTGGCTACACAAAGTGCCAGTCATCGGCACAATTGCTTGCAATTGGCTCGGCCTACCCACAAAATAATAGCGGCGGGCCCTTCCTTACAGCCCAGGCTCTTGTTGGCTGCTGTAGGCTGTGAAAGGGACATGTGAGCTCCTATTAGGTCGAATTAGCTGTCAGTCAGAAGGTCAGAAGGTCAGAGTTCAGCAGCTAATTTGAAATCAAGATATCACATTTGTTTACATCCAAATCGGAGTTATTACAGTTATAATGACATATCAGCCACGTTTGCCAGCAAATATAAAATGATGCAGCAGCAGTCCCTGGGGATTTTTTGATGGAAGAATGTGGTTGGACTAAATGTTTTTCTGGATTGCATCATCTGGACCTATTACAACCATGTTGACAACATGACAAGACCATTTTTGTTAGAAAATAATCAATCGGTGGATTAAGTTACTATGAGGCTTCAAAGATGAGTCACTTCAATTTTGATGGTACTGCTTCGTCTGACAGAGGTGCTGATTGTACCCGCTGTTGTGATTGTATCTTGAAATCATATAGCAGTTGTGGGCACATAAAGAGAGCTGCCATCAGAACCTGTTACCACCAGGAATGAGAGGTTTAAGAAGTTTTCACATAAAGTAAAGGATTATGCGCAAATGTTGGAATGAGCGATTGCAAGTATTAATTTAAAAAATCAAGTCATTTTCAAGTCATCTGTCTCAAGTCTAAGTCAAGTCTCAAGTCATGAACACCAAGTCAAAGTCAAGTCCAGTCTTTTGTCTGTTAGTCAAGCAAGTCTCAAGTCTTCAAATTTGCGACTCGAGTCATGTGAGTCATGTGACTCGAGTCCCCCAAAGGCCAAACGTTTTATCGTTTCATCAAAAAAAAAAAACAACATATAAATCTCAACAACTCAAGCACGGCATACTGATCTTTAATTTGTTATTTCATTTTGATTTAATATATAAAATGAATACCTATATAAATTCACACTAGTCTAATGTACATCAAAAGTGGTTAATACAATTGTTCCTTCTGTTCATACTGTCTCTGTCTGGATCCCACTGTGACTCAATTTCACTATAAGAGATGAGGGATAACAGTCGTTGTTGTGTCAAAAGATACATCCCAAAGTTCACTTGGCACTAATATTCGGCTTCAGCTGTCTGAGTTAGGCAACTGCTAATCAGCAAGAAAACACTGTCCCTGGAAACATTAGGAGAAAATTTTGAGCTACAGAAACTAACTTGCAGGACACTTGATTTGTCTTTGTCTCATACTCTGTCTTAACATCAAATATTGTTCAAAATGTCATTGTCTCATACTAGTTGTGGTTGACTTTTGGAATTCATTTTAGGTTGCAGATTGTCGTCCATCTCAAACACTGTACTTTTGCGCATATGAGAATTGCACTGAGAAGTTAAAAAAGTGTCAACCTACCCGTTGAATTTGTTTGCTGCAGACTGAAAACAGAAACAAGACAAATCATACAGCCACCCTCTCAGGGAAACTACAGCTGTGCTATAGGCTAAATGCTAACATCAGCCTGCTAACATGCTCACAATGGCATGCCGATGTTTACCGTGTGAAATGTTCTATGTTCACAATCTTAGTTTAGTTAGCCTGCTAATATTGACACTAAACACAAAATACAGCTTATTTATTTTGGACGAATTTGGTCATAAAGTGTTGGACAAATACAAATTTTGATCTGATGGTGCAAGATAAAAAGTTACGGGATCAATAAAGCTATTATAATAATATTTTAATAATATCAGCAAAGTCCTCAGTAATTATCTGGGAAACAGATATTTTATATGTTGTCAAATAGTTTATATTTGAGTCTGGAACAAAGTGGTGGATGACATTTATTACCCACAACAGACCACCACTTCACAAGAGCACATACTTGTTTCTTCAGCTTAAATAAAAAATGTATAACACAAAAGTACACATCACCTCTCAGAGCAGAGAGGACAGAGGAGGTTGCCCCTCTCGACCCTCCTTTTGCACACCACTGTCAGCCTTTTCATGGATTTGGGTACATTTATTTGGAAGGTTTATGAAAAGTGAACACATAGAAGCAAAATAACATTTGAATAAAATGGAAATTCTGTCCAACTTTCAGTCCACCCTCAGTTGAATGAATAAATTTGAACAGCCCCTAACATGTAGACAGTGTGAAGTCTCTCTCTCACTTCAGATTCTCACAGACTGAATTTAGCATTCGAAGATCACAGCTTGTGGTAGAAACAGTTCACAAGACTGCCATTCATTCACCAGAATAACAATCCATCAGTCCAATCCGTCACATTTAATGAGAGCAAAGAAACATTACTCCACAATCCAACAGTCTTTAAATCTCACCCATTATATCCTTCACGTTGGAGTACACCGCCACGTCCTCGTCTTCTGAGACACAATGTTTTGACTCCTCATCCTCCACTATCATCGCCTCCTCCTCTTTGTCCTCAAATACTTCACCTTCCTCTCTGTTGTCGTCTTTGCTGTCCTCTTTTACTTGCTTCTTAATTTCAGCGTATTCTGTCTCGGTGGTCTCTTGCTTCTTTGTTGCCTCCCTGGGACTCTTTCTTTTCAACACAGAGAAATTGATGCTGGCGTACTCCACATCTTTTGCTCCACCATCAAGATCAGGGGTGCTTTTTCTGCTGTTACATCTTCTCCTACTTCAGCTGCCTCTTGGTAGTAGGTCTGGTCATCTTCCAGTGCTTGACAAGGATCTATCTGTGAGGTACAATGGAAATGATATGACTCATTCAGCAGCTGCTACAAGCACCAAAACTGTGAGTAATAAACTGGGAGACTGTGGTACATGTAAAGTACTGCCAACCATTTTCATGAAGTCATTACATAATCTTTAAATCTTGTAATGTTTGGGTATTGGTTGTTTCTATACTATTTAAAAAAAAATCAACTTGAAGCAAGACTTGAAATGTTTTTGAGACATTGTTATCCATCATCATGTGTATCTACTTTTATTATAGTAAGTTTACAGTTACATGTAAGTGGAAATTCAGTGCAGTCTTTTTTCAGTTTGTACATTCATCTGCGCTGCAGAGGAACAAAAAGGACCTGACTATTGAAGCAGGCAGGGTGTTGGCTTTGATAGGATATACAGTGTCTGAAGTTTGCAACAATGCATGTAACAAGTTGTTTTTCATGCTTTAGAGAAATGAGTTCAGGCAAAGCACACAAGTTGTGCTTGCTTGAGTTGACTGTCAGTCGCTGCTTCATTCATGCTTAGCAATGAGCTGACTATGAATTCCCAATCACATTCATGCAGGTGGACAAGGCAGCCATTAAAATCTAATACTTCTAATTATTACTCTGCCAATGTTGAAAATTCTTCGACAAGCCCAACCTTCTCCTTATATGCTGTGATTTTGGTATTGCTTAATAACCAAAATGTAATGTCTGGGATTCAGTCTCCTTGTTGCTGATCAGATTCATTGAGAGTTCCCTGAATGTGCAGAAAATATTCTGCCAAATCTAACTGTATAACAATTTGTTATTCATGGTCAATTAATCAAATTAGTGTGTTTAAACAATAAAAGCCACATTCACACATATAAAATATAACATTTAATATTACAATTCTGAAAAAAATGAAAACATATATATAAAATATTAGTTAAATGAATATAAATACCAGAGGATCCTCTTGACTAGTCATCATCTCCAGAGTTTCATCCAGATTTACAGAGCTCAGTTTCTTTCTGGGTAGAAAACAAACAAATAAACTATTTAAATGAATATAAGATTATCCACAAATAAAACCAGGGGATAATTATAGATTATCTGGTGTACCTTTGGCATTTCTTTGCCAAAGAGCAAAGGGCTGCTGAAAAGAGTACCCCAATCAAAAAGGCAATGATGATTTTCAGCCATGAAACCATTTTTGATAGTTTGCTGGTTGATCTGCAATCAAGAGCAACAAAATAAATCTTGGTGTCCATCTTGTTCAACAATAATATATTTGCAATAGCTTATTTCTTGTGGGACAAAGGTCACTGTAATTAGTGAGAGGAAAGGCAATGGTCTGCAATAGCAGAAGTGTTTTAGTTGAGGAAACGTACCCTCTTGTTCGGATGCGTTTATTCGGATGGTGAAGTTCTCTTTTGCCTCCCTGCTTGCCTCATTGCTGCTGACACACTGAACAACAGTGCTGTTGTGGTCATTTGCTTTTAGGGTGATGGTGCTGTTGACTGTGTGTTTGGACACAGTGGTAATAACAGAGTATTCAGTGTGGTCCTTCAACAGCGGCCATTTAATGGTGGGTAAAGGAAACCCCTCACTGATACACATACAGGTCAGAACCTCTGACTGATTTCTGCATCCAGAGCTGTTCAGGATCTTTGGAAACACTGCAAAAAAACAGAATCACAACATCAAACAAAGCGCACAGGAAGCTGACACACACACATCAGGATCTCCGATTAAATAAATCCGGTTAATAGTGTAAAATGTGAACATACACTTCCTTTTCAAGAAGATTAGTACAGCCTACTTACAAGTCACAGTTATATCAGCATTTACAGTCAGAGTCGTGTCCAGGTGTTTTGCTGTACAGATGTACTGTCCAGAATGTTCTACAGTCACATTATGAATGACAAGTGTGGCTGATCCAGTGTCGTTCTGCAGGCCAGTCTCAGGTCCATTACGCAGGTGTGTGTTGGAACCAAGAACAGTCCACGTGATATGAGATAGAGGGAAACTTTCAACACTGCAGGTCAGATCCAGAGCATCTCCCTCCTTAACAATCATATTCCCAGTGATTACAGGCTTTTTCATATCTGTGAAGAAAACATTTGAAGAGAAGATAGAAAACACATTTCTTTGTTTTTTACTTATGCAAGCACACACATAGTTGGTCAAATGTATACATACACACAATTATAATTAGTCCTGTAGTCCTGTAACTTGAAAAGACTTTCTTCAGGCACTATAGTGACTTTCTTACCCACTGAAATAGGAAAAGTCTGCCATAGTGTATGTGCTACCAGTAATACTTAATAGTTAAATGGGTATGACTCCAAATTATGCATACACTCCCCAAAAATATACACGGTATGATATACAGTATATACTTAATGAGATATATATCCTTTTACACATTGTAAATTAAGTAAATGATCTTGTGATGGCATTCATGCATGGACGCAGTGTTTTTTTAATATACTACCACTGGAAGGCGCCAAAGTCTCAACATGTTCGAGCTCTACACAGTGGTTTTCACAGACAAGTTTTTATTATTCCAAACACGTGGCTACAGTGAGAGCAACCTGGAAGCCTTCACAATGCCTCCAAGGGCTTTTCTTATTTACATTAGAAACTAAGGCAAATAGTCAAAAATGAAATCATCTCAGTTTCAGTTAACTAGAAGAGGAAATACTACATGAAATGTACTTACACATCACTGTTACATCAACGTTTTGGATCAGGTGTTGTTCAGATGTTTGGCTGTGCAGGTGTACTGTCCTGAATCTCTGCTGTCATGTTAGCGATGGAAAAAGTTCCTATTCCACTTTCTTCCTGCAGGTAGGTTTCAGTGTCATTCTGCTGAGTAGTTTCTGTTCCATTTTGCTTGTATTTGTCAGAATATATAGTCCATGTGATTAGAGATGGAGGGAAACTTTCAACACTGCAGGTTAGATTCAGAGTCTCACCCTCCTTCACACGTGTTTTCCCAGTGATTTTAACTCCCTTTACATCTATGAGGCAAAGAGATATATGATATTATTTACAATGTTATATAGCACCTCTAAATTCCCAACTTTCCTGTAAGAAAACTGGATTTATAAAATTGAACACAGCTCAGAAAACCATCAGAAGTGACATGAGAGAACATCTCTTAACAAATACTTTAGATGAAAGGTAAAGGT